AAAAAAACACATAATTACAGCGAAATCAAACTATTTTCTCTCTCTTCTCTCTTGTAAAAATACGTAAGAACAATCAGATTTGTCAGCTAAAGTACAGGGAATAATTAAATTGCGAAACACTTTTTTGGTACCAAAAATTTTTCTCAAATTCTGATCGGAAAGTTTACTGAAAACTGTCTGTAAAGATACATAGGTTGAAGCACTGACTTATTTTCAAGAAATATCATAAGTTCATTTATGCTTAATTGATCGCCACGGTCTTGATTTCGCATGTAAAGATTAAAACAAAAAGTAAGGATATTGCAATTGGGATGTGAAACTATTATTATATGTTCTACTTTTGCTTCTGTTTCTTTCCAGCAAAGTTTAGAATTTCTTGTGATTTTTGAAAAAGCTGTAAAACTAAATGATAGCACTGTTTTAAACTTAACCCAAATTAAACCCAATTATTACAGATGTCTAAATTCTAGCATTTTAGACGAGAAAACATTAGACTTTTTTCTGGTACTTCAATTTTGTCTAGTCATAACAACAATTCATTTATTGTTGTAAATTTTACTGCTTTTACAATCCACGACTTCAGTAAGCTCCAATAATTAGCCAAGATTCAAGAAATTAACTCTCGACTATCAAAAAAAATAAATAAATAAATAAAGAAAGAAAGATTTTTTTAGCAAGATTTATAGAATAGTCCCAAATGTTTGTATGCTTATATGTAGTGGATTAGATTGGGAACACACTTAAATGTTAGCCGTATGTTCGGAGCTTGATTAAAATTAATTTAATCATTTTTTTCGTTATTTATTTTAGATAACCGGTTAGCATTTTGTTTTTATTTTAGCCTCCTCTCCCGTTACCCCTTTTTCCTCTTCTCCTACCCTGAACTCCGTTTCTTTACATTTGGCTTTAAAAGATAAATCTTTTATATCATCTATTCAAAGACATCCAACTATAGTTGTTGGTTAACCAACCAGCTGATGATCAATGGTTATTATCATTGCAGTTGCCCCTTTTTTTCATTTTCGTTTTCATTCTTATTTTTTTTCTTGTTTTTCAAATGATTTAGATAAATTTTTTCAGCAAAAAAAAAGTCAACTAACTGAAGCAAAATAAAAAGAACAAATAACAAACAGAAAATTATTAAATATTAATGCCAATAATGTTTACTATCATTTATTTGACGCAATAAAACAACAAGAAAATAATCATTAAAAAAAAAATTAAATCAAACATGTTATTTGCTATATTCACATTTTCTCATAAATGTTTCTTGGTTTTTCTGAATTATGAACCCTTACTATTAAAACCACTTTACTACAATTAACCAACTAGCAAATCTTTGTTTTTCGCATATTATTTTTGAACTTTTTTCTGCCCATAAACTTTTAGGTACAATAAAAATGACAAAAAAAGAGAAATAAAACCTGAAATATGATATATATGTTTATAGCTATAAATATACACACAAATATATAGAAGTACACTGAATTTAAACGGCCTCCAACGAACAGCACTTAGTGAGTCTGAAGTGATTCCAGAGAAGATTATGGATGGGGCCACGAAAGACGTAAAAAAAATTTTTTTTTTTTTTGATTCTCATTGCTGATGGTATTTGTTGCTGTCGTCGTCGTCGTCGTCATCATTATGGCCGTCGCCGTCATCGCCATCGTTTTTTGCCATTGCTGGCAAGCATATATCATGAAATAATGCATCGGTCTTTCAGCATCTTTCGATTGGCACTGGTTTGTGAGTTAGAGCTGCTGAGTACACGGTGTAGTAGCAGGTCGGTCCTAAGACTCGGCCTTCGTGCATTTATTTCCATATAGCACAAGCTAAAAAAAACAAGTTTCAACTTCTATTGTTTAAGCAATGGTTTAATAGAAGACTGGAGGCAAAAAACAGCAGTACTGAGGAACATGAAAAAAAGTAATTGAAATTTAACTCCAAAAATTGTGTTATTTTGGTGTTGACAATATCAGAGGAAAAAGCCTATTTTTTCTACTATTTTTCAATGATATTAAAAGAAAGAGTTTTTCTTGAAGAAAAATTGCAAAATAACTTACGTATCAGGTTCATCTCTGGAAAAATGATTACGCATACGTTGAAGAAATCGTCGCTTATCTTTCTCCATCAGTGTATCCGCAGACAATTCATTTCGTAATACCTTATGATGTTCTGGATTCATAAATTTTGGTAATTTTGCCATTGTAAATAGTAGGCCAAAAATCTATAAAATTTTTTTGCGGCTGAAGTTTACAGCGTTTTTCAGTTTAGCAAATCAATAATAGTCGCTGCAAAACTAAAGAACGTATCAGTTTTATTGAAAGTAGAGAAAAATGTTAAATTTAATAAAGCCCTACTTCTTTTGCTAATATACTTAGAACAGGGAAATTGCTTTTATCCAGTAATTCCTATGGATTTTCTGAACAATTCATTAAAATAAAAAAGCGATGTTTCTCAAGATTAGTAATATTATCTGAGTTGATAGCTTTAGAAAGCGAATAAACTGTAGATAAAAAATCTGAAACATTTTTGCTTACTTTGTCGATATTGGTTGCTGCGGCCGCCGAACACGTACAAACATTACCGACGGCATTTGTAATTTTGGCAATTCTTTGACACACCTGAAAAACTTTTGTTTTTGACTTTGATCAGTCACCAGTTTATTTTTAAGTTGATTAAAACCATCAATAATTGTTGAAAATAAGAATAATAAAAATATATAAATAATATAATCCCATTCTTTCTTTTTCTTTCTCTGTTCCGTTTAGTTTATTACACAAACCGTCTGAGCTGTTCAGTGCGACAAAAAAAAAAAAAGTAAATTTATTTATTGTCAATTTTTTTTTTGTTCTGAGCTGTGGTTTAGCACAAATAAAGTCTACTCTTAGCAAAATAAGCACATTTCCATAGGGTACGATTTTTTTTGTTCTATTTTTGAGCAATTCAGTAATGCTAAATAATGCATCGATATTTCAATTTCTTTTTTTATTTCTTTCTTGTCTATGTTCCGTGGTTTGTTAGCACAAATAATTTTGTTCAACAATTTCAGTTGTTGAAAAAAAAACAAAAAAAAAAAGATTAAAAAGAAAATTGTAGAGTTTGAAGCAGAAATATACAAAATGTGATCAATTGTTTGTCGTCAGTCTTCTTCATCATCTTCTTCGGTTGTTTCTTGTTGGATTTGTGTACTGCCATCGCTGACTCTCTCCAAATGTGCTGCCCACCAGCCTTCCCCCTTTCTTCATTCCCCCTCTCCCTTCCCCAATCCCCATCCATCTTTGGACTCTACACAAATAATGATCAACATTTGCAACATATTCAGTTTAATTTTTTCGACCTCGCCTTGAAAGCAACAAGATTTGTCAAAAACTAATATAAAAATAATTAAAATACCGATGCTTTATTGGTTTTAGTGACACTTTAGCGGTCAAAAAAAATCTAATTAAAAAAAAAAAACTGAACTCAAATTGACTAACCGAAAAAAAATTGTTTTTTTTCTCTTTTTGATTTTATTTCCTTTTCTTTCTGCTTGGATAATAGTTGAACAAAAGTGAAACTTAGCGTTTTTAAAATTGCTATGGCTATAACCTATCAGCATAAACACCAACAACAACAACTGTTTGATCAGTTTTTGTGGAGAACAGTAAGCCTTCAACAACGATTACAAATAGAGCAAAGAAAAGCAAAAGCAGAAACAAATAGAACAAATATTGGTTTAAAAATTTCAAATGTCTATCAGTTTAGCTGCTGCTTGATGTTGACGACGATGACGATGATGATAATGGTGACGAAAACGACATCTGATGGCATTTGATAATAATACGTTTTTAGTGGTCAATCGAAACTTATTGATAAATCTATAGAACAAATTTATTGATAGCTGATTAGGTGCAATCTTTTAGATTGCAGTTTCATTTTCAATTTTTTTTTCTTTTTTTTTCGTGCCTCTAAAATATTTTAACAAAGCAAAAAAAAAAAAAAACAAAAAAATTTTTTTTAATCAAAATTGAATGTATGCATAATTTTGCAACAAATTTATTCAACTCTTGGAAAAAAAACAAAATTATTTTATTGCACTGTTTTTGAAGAAATTTTCCTTTAATAACGCTTTTTTTTTCAACACTTAGATGGCATTAATTGTTTTCAGCTGTGTTAAAAAAAGAAAGAAAAAGAGATAAAAACTGTAAAATTATATCAGGCAAAAAGGTTTTTTTTTTGCAACAAATTTTTTCTTGTCAAGACAAAAAAGTTTAATAAATTTTCTAATGAGTCTATTCTATTGTTGGTGTTTAAAAAAAACAGATAGGAATTGGATAAGTAAAATGTCTAAGCAAAACAGAACAACAACAACAGAAAAGACACTAAAAGTTGTTGTTTTTGTTATTTGTATATTGCTTTTAAAAAATATCTGCTTAACTACAAAATAGAAAAAAATTGGTAACCACAACTTAAAACCGTCTTTTAGATCCGTCTCAGTGTTCAGTTCAACAAATAACAATAAAAAGTTGTATTATCAAATTCACTGCTTCTTAGATGTCATGCAAAATTACAGCTTATCGACTGTTGACCCTGAACTGTTAATGACAGTTAAAATCTAAAAATGCATATCTTCAAAAATTTTGAAACATCTGATTGATATCGATGATAACCACCTAAACGATATGTTTCTCTCAGTCGTCATTATTCTATCTTTCAGTTTATTTCAGCAACTTAGTGACTCTGCTAGTTTTTTTCCTGCTTGCGGACTTAAAAATGACAAATGCAAACTGCTCTTTTTGAACTCTAAAACATAATCAGTTTTATTCTAAAATTTTTTCATTATTATTATAAAGAAATAAGCGATAATTATCATATTGTAAATTTTAACACTAATATTAATAATGGTTCACTAGGTTTCAAGTTTGGCTAAGAAGTTTTAAGCATTTTCAGTAAGTTTCTGAAAACCACAGTTGAAAACCCGACACTGTCTGGTGCACTCAGTTTTGAAATTTAGCTTTTAATTTTTCTGTCTTTTCCTAATAACCTATTTCTGAAAAGCTTGATTTCTAGATTGAAGAAACAGAACTTTGATTTATGAGTTCAAGTTTGATTATACTATTCGGCAATAAAGGTTTGTTGAATATTAATGAAACATCTGGCATTGATATGACAACCAAATCTAAAAGCTGATTTTTTTTTTGGTTTAGAACATCGCTGGCAGACATACGAATCTTAAAGTTACCGACAACTATATTGATTTTTATCTTTAAACAACATGACACTAAGATAAACTTATGGAATTCCCTGACTATAGAAATCCGACGAACAAGTCTCTTAATTTGCTAGGCTTACAGCAAAAAACTATTCTGGCTAAATTTTGCACAGGTGTTCGAGGGTCTGTCAAGAAACTGCAATACCAAATGTCAACAAAATTTTCAGCAAAATATAAAGATTTAGCCGTGAAAAGTCTGCAGTTTCTTCTCGTTTTTTAAACCAGTATGCACTTTCGTTGTCATCAAATTTTTACCGATAATAAAAGATGAATTTTTTTGAAATAGCTGACAAAAACTGACATTAACAAATAAACAGAAGTGACAAGCTGAAACTGACAAATACCATAATGTTTTTTTTTAGATTTGAATAAAATTTATAATTATTTTTTTTTTTCAGTTAGCTCCTAAAAATGTTTATTTCAAAACTGTTTTTTTTTTTGCTGCTTAAGCAAATAACTGCAAAATTTCACTCCCAAATACTAAACGGATTATATGCAGTATAATGATGAAAATAAAATTCAGTAACACATTCACTCAATTAAAGTATAAAATTGCTTGCTAAATAATACTTTACGATATATGACTTTTGAGACTGAGCAACAAATGTGCTCCAATGAATCTTAGACTTAGCTTTCATCTTGCTGCACTTTTTGAGACCTATCTGCAACATATCGTGAGGCTATTTAGCTAGTCATTGTTTTACCTTTTGGAGGCAAATTTTAGAAGATCAAATGTCAGCTGAAATAAACTCTTCTAATTGCTTTTCTTTTTTTTTCTTTTTTTTTGAAATTTGAAGAAGCAAAATTTTTTCACTGCTGAAAAAAAGAAGTTTTTCAGTTGGCGATGTGATAGCTTTTATTTATAGTAAAACAAAACGCTAAGTTTTCAGTTCAATTATAA